TAAATATTGTACTTCTTTTGTTAAATTTATTTCTAAGTAGTTTTTTGGGGGTATTATAAATATAATTACTTAATTTCATTTTCATGTTGCTTATACTGTTGTTGTTGTTGTTGTTATGTGCCGTTGAGTCGGCCCTGACTCATAGCGACCCCTCCTTGGGTTTCCAAGGCAGTATCACTACGGAAGTAGGATTGCCCAACCTTCCTTCCGAGGAGTGGCTGGTGGGTTTGAACCGCCAGCCTTCTGGTTAGCAATCAAGTGCTTTAGCCACTATGCTACCAGAGCTCCCTTGCTTATACTAGTATATAGAAATAGAATTGACACCTGTTTATTGATCTTGTATCCTGCCACACTGTTGAACTCGTTTATTAGTTCTACTAGGTGTTTTTTAGTATTCCTTGGGATTTTCTATACACAAAAATCTCATGTTATTTGCAAATACAGATAGTTCTGTTTTTTATTTCCAACCAGGATGCTTTTTATTTCTTCATCTTCATTGACTGACCGGGCTACAGCCTGAAGTACAATTTGAATAGAAGTAGCTAGAGTGGATACATACCCTTGTCTTGTTCCTGATCCCAGAGGGAAAGTATTCAGTTTTTCTTCATTAAGTATGATATGAGCTGTGGGTTTTTTTTTTGCCAAATGCTTTAATGAGAAGTTCCTTTCTATTTTATTGTTGATTTTTATTTTTTTAAATCACGAAACGGTGTTGATTTTGTCAAATGCTTATGCTTTTTTTCTGTCTAAGACGATCAAGTGGTTTTTGTCCTTTATTAATACGGCGTAGATTACATTAATTGATTTTCAGATGTTGTATCAATAATTTCCAGGATAAAGTTCACTTGGCCATGGTGTATAACCTTTTTTTTATATGTTGCTAGATACAGTTTTCTGGGAGCTCTGATAGCATAGTGGCTGAGGCACTTGACTGCTAACCAGAAGGCTGGCGGTTCAAACCCACCAGCCACTCCTCGAAAGGAAGATGGGGCAATGTACTTCTATGGTGATACTGCCTTGGAAACCCAAGGAGGGGTCGCTATGAGTCGGATCCGACTCGACAGCACATAACAACAACAACAAGATCAACAACAAACTCCTACGGGAAGCCCGGTCTGTAGTTTTCTTGTTATGCTTTTGGTTTGAGTGTCAGGGTGATACTGCCCTCACAGAATGAGCTGGGAATGTGTTCCCTCCTCTTCTGTACTTCGGGAAAGCTTGTGAAAGAATGGCATTGATTAAAAAATAATAATAATAAAATAAACCACCTCTCATTATTAAGGAAATTTTCCAATATACAAAAAAAAAAAAAATCGTGAACCCTCACATACCCTTCCACCCAGCTTCAACAACTGTCAATATTCTACCATTTTTATTTCCACCACTCCTCCCATTTTCCTAACCCTATTTTTATGGGGCTGAAATTGTGTAAAAGAAAAGTCTAGACTTATCATTTCACCCTTAAATATTTCAACATATATATCTCTAATAGATAATGGCATCTTTAAAAGAAAAATAACCAGAATTTAGTTATTTCATCTAACAAAATTAGCAATATATCTGGACATTGCAAAACTTCCTAAAATGTCTCAAAAATTTTTTTTTAAAATTAATTTGCTTGAATCTAGATGCAGCATTGTATTTAGCTGATACGACTCTTCAATCTCTTTGAATCTATAACAGTCCCTTCCCTCCTTTCACCTCTATGCCATTTATTTGATGAAACAAACTAGGTCAACGTGTCCTGTAAACTTTTCCATGCTCCAAGTTTGGCTATTGTATCTTCACGGCTCTGTTTAACTCATTCTTTAAGCTGGGAGGCAGGTCTAGAGTCAGTCAGATCTAGATTCAAGTTGTTGTGAGCAGACTACTGCATCACATTACCAAACCAAACTCACTGCCATCGAGTTGCTCTCGACCCATAGCGACCCCTCCTTGGGTTTCTGAGGCAGAATCACTTCACAAGTAGATTGCCCAGTCTTCCTTCTGAGGAGTGGAAGTTTGAACCACCAGCCTTCTGGTTAGCAGTCAAATGCCTTAGGAGACACTTAATGTCTAACAGTCCCACTTTTAGTGTTAAGACCGAGTTATTATTGGCCTGATCCATCCATTTATAAAGTTCCCATGAACTTTTCACCTAATCGCTTTAGCACAACCATTGCAATTTGTGCCTATGGACATTATCTCAGCAGAAGTTGCAACCTGGCGATTTTCTAATTCTTTGTTCTTCCAAGGTCAGGATTTTTACCTTCACAGTTGTCTGCTTTAGATCTGTAACTCCCAATTAGAGTGGTGCTTCTAGGTGCATTCTGGAAGCCCTGGTGACATTCCTGCTTGTCACGGTGGTGGTGGTGGTAGAGGTAGTGGTAGTGGTGATTCCTGGCATTTAGTAGGCAGAGACCAGAGATGCTGAACACTGCAGTTCACAGGAGTCCCACATAATGAAGAAACAACCTGTGTACCACACAACTTCCTTATGTCCTGTTACATACTCATCAAAGAGCTGTGCCTACATAAATTACCTGAGTCTAAGGCCATGTTAGGAGCTCTGATGGTGTAGTGGTTAAGACATTCGACTGCTAAACAAAAGGTTGATGGTTTGAACCCACTAGCCACTCTGCTCAAGAAAGATGAGGCAGTAAGCTTTCATAAAGATTTACAGCCTTGGAAACCCAATGGGGGTTGCTATGAGTCAAAATCTATTCAATGGCAATGAGTTTGGCTTGGTTTAAGGCCATTTTATGGATGAACACTAAGTTTTTTATACTGTTTTAATAGAAAGAAAATTTTCAGGAATACACTACAGAGTAACTGAAGAAACACTGTCTACTATTTTGTTCACCAAAATATTCCTAAGAGCTGGATACCATTTTAGAAAAATCACGTTAGTTATAGCAACACAGTTTTGTGGTGTTTAAGTTGCTGATAAAACACATCTGTATCAGCCAGCTTTTGTCACTATCATACCTAAGATAACTCCATGTACAGGTCCAAATGTCTGATGCCTAAGATAACTGCACATATAGGTCCAAATGTCTATGTCCTCCAGTATAATCATACCCAGGCATTTGCATATTTAAGTACATATTACTCTTTCTCTATTTCTCATTTATTTTATAGTTAGGACTTCATACCAATTTCTTTCTTTTTTTCTTTTCCTTTTTTTATTGTGATTTGTATGAAAGTTTACAAAGCAAATTCATCTTCCATACAGAAGTTCACATATACTTTGTCTCATGCAAATGCAAAATGCAATTTCCCACAATGCAACAGCTCTCTTCTCACTTCCTCCCCATAGTTAACTCTTCCCTGTGTCCCTTCCTCCCATGCATTCCTGCCCCCTGAGCTGTCTCCCTGTGCACACACAGCCCTTCTATTCTCCCATGACTGATCTCGCCAAGGAGTATATCTACCTAATGTAAATGATCAGGTCATATGCCTGTCTTTTATTTGGCTAGAAGCCACAGGAGTGGGTTCAATTCCAGACATAAAGGACAGCAAGGGGCCATAGTCTCAAGGGTTTCACCAGGCACTATCAGACCACCAAACCTGCTCCTTTTTTTTTTTTTTTTTTATTATTTTTGAGTTCATTTCATATTGTTCTCCCACTTTTTCCAGGATCTCCTGCATAGATTCCCCTCCGAGCATACCAATTTCTTTCAAAGTCATGCATTAGGAAAGTTAGATCCGTGAGTTCCATTTCAAGCTAGTAAAAGAGATCTCACAGACTATCTGTTTTGAAATGGGGGCAGTGGGTCTATGAGAGCTGAGAAGTACTAGCCACTTAAAGTCTAAAAATCTCCCCCAACTTGATTCCTGTGGAGCTTGTTCTTAAGTCTCGTCATATTCTACAAAGACTGTGGTGCTAGGAACGAGGACACTTGGACCCCAACCCTGGCTCTGCCTCTTTATTTTGGCTGATGACCTTAGGCAGGTCATCTTACCTCTGTTCCCTTCTGTAAAATAAGGTTAGATTAGACAAACTGTCCTAGCCTTTTCAACCACTTTCTATATGCTCCACACTCCCTCTGAGACTCAATATTCTGGAATATTTTGCCAAACAGACTCACCAATTATTACCTGTAATAATTACACTGATTTCTCATTTAACTAATTAAAGCTATCTAACTGCAAACCAGAATAAGATAACAATGGCAGCTAGCATTTCTTTAGTGCTCACTATGTGCCAGGCACTGTTCTGATGAACCTCCATTCATCTCCATCTCACCAGCCCCACCATGACTACCAACCACATTGTGAGCTAAGTACTGTGTCAGCTATAGAAAAAGCCCCCTGCACCTTGTCTCTTCCTTTAGAGCAGAAGTTTTCAGTCCTAACTGCTGCCGTCTGAATCGCAAAGATGCTGGAAGTGGTACTTACTCACACCATGCTGTTACAGAAAAGTTCTGAAGTTGTCAGAGAGGTCAAGGGACTGCACTGCAGTGAGATGGGCAAGACAGTGGAACTGCACCCCTCCACGAAAGTGCAGTGAAACTGTGACAGCTGGAGCTGCACAGCACTGCCCTGTTTTTCTGGGTCTCGCCACGTTTCCCCCTTTGATGGGGTGCGGTCTTACCGCTCACTTTAGTGGAAAATATTTGATTTCTCCTTCTGTGACAGGTCTCTGTCTTACACAGATTCTGGCTTTCACAGGTTTTATTTCTCAGATTTCACTAGACTTTTGCATCTTTGCATTTTCCCAAAAAGCCTGACCCAGAGCTCTCAGCCACAGACCTTGGGAATGAATAACCATGAATCACTGGGCGGTACCCTAGCCTGCTGCACAGACACCAGCAGTCCCGAACCTGGGCAGACTCCAAGGCCCTGGGCGGCCTCTGGACGAGGTAGGCAGCCATAAGATGCTAAGAAGTTAGGGTGACTGGCAGCAGTGCAAGGACTCACTGCTCCACTTGCCTCCATTTTCCGCTTCCGTACAGCAAGACTCTTTGACTACTTTTCACACATGGTGTCAAGTGGCACAGCGGGGGCTCTGTACTCACCAGGGAGGCTGCCGGCTGGCGTGGGGGTGGTGTGGGGGAATCCGGAGCGGGTCTACCTCTCTGGCAGTGGCAGGGGGGAACTCCCGTTGAGGACTGCTCACACTGGCCTTGTCCCAGTAGTCATGGATAGGTGTGATGATTCCAGACACAATTCGAGACCGAAGTTCCTCACTGTTCTTATAGGTCCTGCGGGAAGCAGATGAGGTGTCAACTGTTTGCAGCTGGCTGGCAACCTTACGCACAGTATTCCGCCGCCGCTGGCTGCCCTGACAGTTCTTGGCATTGCGTTTGGCCTGTTTGCAAGGGTGGAAACGGGCCGTCCGGCGGGCCTGTTTGCAAGGGTGGGAATGGGCCGTCCGGCGGACCTGTGTGAGGGGGGCAATAGCCCGGCGTTGTCTCCGAGGTTTGCGCCTAAGTGTCTTAGGCATCTGAGTTGCCCCTCCTCGCTCACCACCCCATTAGAAAGAGCTGAGGGTGCAGGGGCCTGGACTGGTTATCCTCTGTACCCACCCCATCCTGCCCCAGCCCACCCCACCCCCAGCCTCATTATGTGTTCATCACGTGTCATGAGAAGGGTCAAGGAAGGCAGAGGCTCCCTGGGCAGACAAACCAGGCTCCTGGTCCAGGGAGGGAGGGCTCTGGGGGCTCAAGGCCCAGTTCTGTTGCTAACTCAGGGGCCCTCGGGTGGCTGTCCTTCCCATCGACCCCATCCTGCCAGAGCCTCATTTCTCTGCCCATGAGAGAAAAGCAATGGGTGCTTTAGCTGAGGCCCTGAGAGGCTGAGGTAACAGGGAGTGGGCAGGACTCTAGGGTTTCTAAAAATAAAAAAAATAAAAAATAAAATAAACTGGTGTTCAAAATGAGCCATATCTTAGGCCATGAAACAAAACTGCACAAACTTGGAAAACAAAGAATATATGGTTCTCTGGTCATGTGGAATCAAATTAGAAAATCAGTAACAAATACAACCAGAGATCTCTAAAGCCAGAAATTAAACAACTCTCTTCTAAATAATCCATTAATCAAAGAGGACGTCTCAACTCAACTTTTTAAAAGTACATAGAATTGAATGAAAATGAAAACAACATACTAAGATATGTGGCTGCAGCTAAAGCAGGGCGGAAAGGGAAATCTACGCACTAAATGCTTCCTTCAAGAAAGAGGAAAGAGCTCAACAATCCAAATACTGACTGACATCAAGTACCCAGAAAAAGAGGAGCTGGTTAAACCCCAAGCAAGCACAAGTAAGGGACTAATGAAGACAGAGGAAATCAAGGAAGTTCAAAACAGGAAAACAGAGAAAATTAAGCAAACAAAAAACCAGAGTTTTTCTTTCTTTTTTTTTAAATTTTAAATTCTCTCGTTTTTTTCCCTCTTCCCTTCATGCACTCCTCCCCTCTGAGCTGTCTCCCTTGACATACACAGACCTTCTATTCTCCCATGATTGTTCTCTCCAAGGAGTGTATCTACCTAGTGTAAATGTTCATCTCATATGCCTATCTTTTGTTTGGCTGGAAGCCACGGGTGTGGGTTCAATTCCAGACCTGAAGGGCAGCTAGGGGCCATAGTCTCAGTGGTTCCATCAGCTCTATCAGACCAGAAAACCTGGTTTTTTTTTTTTCTTTCCCAAATGCTTTTGAGTTTTGTTCCACATTGTTTTTGCACTCTATTCAGGATTTCCCACACAGATCCCCCTCCAAGTGGTTGACAGTGGTAGCCAGGTACCATCTAGTTCTTCTGGTCTCATAGTTGTACAGGCTGAGGATAGCATGGTGTACCAGTCACTTGGACTAATTGTTTCCATAAATCTTTGGTTTTCCTCATTCTTCTTTGCTCTGGACAAAGAGAGACCCATGGTTGCACTTAGATGGCTGCTTGCAAGCTTTTAAGATCCCAGTCACTACCCACCAAAGTAGGAGTGGAACAATGTTTTGGGTAGTATGTTACGCCAACTGAGCTTGATGTCCCCTGTGACTATGGTCCCAAGCTCACAGGTCCAACTACTTACTCCCTGTGGGTGGCTGGCTGTGCCCAATAAGTGACTACAATCTTGACCTTTGTTGGCTCTACTATATACCTGGAAATTCTTATATAACACCACCAATACACTTGTAGAAACACTGTCTGCCAACCCTATACATGGTCTTGGGCACACTTCCCCCTGCAAAGACATATGTAATAGTTCAGCTTGTCCACCCATATACCTGTTTGCCTTCACTGAAAATGCAGTACTCTATGTGCAAAAGGGTTCATCTTTGTTGTCTGTACCTCCCATATACCTCTTTATGTCTTCCTCTTCCTCAACGCCACCATGTTGATCACTTACATTTGGTACATTGCCCTTCTCTTCACCCAAATCAATACTGTCTCTACCTATCTAACAGTGTTCCCTCCCCTCCCCTCCCAGCCCTGGTAACCAACAAAGAAAATTTCCTTCCATATATAAACTTTTCCTTGACTTTTTGCAATAATGACTAATACAATAACAAAGTCCTTCTGTGATTGAATTATTTCACATTAATTATTTCACTCAGCATAATGTCCTCCAAGTTCATCCACGTTATGTGGTATTTTGCCAATTCTACATTATTCTTTAGAGTTGCATAGTATTCCATTGTGTGTATGTACCATAGTTTGGTTATTCATTCTTCAGTTGATGGACCCCTAGGTTGCTTCCATCTTTTGGCTAAAAAGCCAGGTTTTTTAAAAAATCAGCTTTTAATAAGACTGATTATAATAAGGGATCACTACAAACAACTTCACACTCATAAATTCAACAACTTAGATCAATTCTTCAAACATCATAAATTACCACAACTCAGCCAAAATGAAATCAATAACCTGAATAGCCCCATTAAAGTAACTGAATACATATTTATAAAAACCAAACGCACAGCCATCGAGTCGATTCTGACTCATGGTGACCCTACCGGGTTTCCGCAGCTGTAAATCCTGATGGAAGTAGATTGCCCCATCTTCCCTCCATGGAGCAGCTGGCAAATTTGAATAGCTGACCCTCTGGTTAGCAGCCAAATACTTTATCCACTACACCACCAGAGCTCCTGAATACATATTTAAGCACCCAAAAAAAGAAGTCTCCTGGCCAGATGGCTTCACGGGAGAATCCTACAAACATTTAAAAATAAACTGACACCAATTTTACAGAATCACTTCCAGAAATTAGAAGAGGAGGGAACACTTCCCAATACATTTTATGAGGCCAGTATTACCCTGATATCAAAACCAGACAGTACAAGAAAAACTACACACCAGTACCTTTTACATACTTCAGACACCAAAATCCTCTAATAAAATCTGACAGTGTATCAAAAGAATTAGATACCATGACGAAGTATAAGGCTGATCCAATACTCACAAATCAATGTAATCCACCAAATATGTAAGCTAAAAAAAACCCACACACACATGATCCTATCAAATGACAAAGAAAAAGCATTTGATAAAATCCAACACCCATTCATAATAAAAACTCTCAGCAAACTAGGAATAGAAGGGAACTTCATCAACTTGATAAAAAGCATCTATGAAAAACCTACAGCTAAAATATACTTAACGATGAAAGAATTCCTTCCCCCTAGGGGGAAATGGGAGCTCTGGTAGCGCAGTGCGTAAGGCACTTGACTGCTAACCAGAAGGCTGGCAGTTCAAACCACCAGCCACTCCTCAGAAGGAAGATGGGGCAATCTACTTCCATAGTGATAATGCCTCGGAAACCCAAGGAGGGGTCGCTATGAGTTGGGTCTGACTCGATGGCATATGACAACAACAACAGGGGGAAATAAGTCAGGAATAAGGCACGGATGTTCTCTTACACCCCTCTCATTCAACATTAAGACTAGAAATTCCAGCCACTGCAATAAAGCGCAGGGACAGGGGTAGTGGTGGTGGTGGTGTAGATAACAAGCATACAGATTAGAAAGGAAAGAATAAAACTGTCCCTATCTGCAGATAGCATGACTGTCTACCTTGAAATTCCCAAGAATTCTACAAAAAACTCCCTAGAATGTTGAGTTCAGCAAGGTGACAGGACAAAAGATCAACACACAAAAGTCAATTGCATTTCTATACACTAACAACGAACATTTTGTTGTTGTCGTTAGGTGCTGTCGAGTCATCTCCAACTCACAGCGACCCCATGCACAGCAGAACGAAACACTGCCCGGTATTGAGCCAGATCCATGATCCCTGCTATCCTTGAGCCCATCACTGCTGCCACTGTGTCACTCTGTCTCGTTGAGGCCTTCCCCTCTTTCACGGACCCTCCACCTTACGAAGCATGACATCCTTCTCCAGGGAATGGTCCCTTCTGACAACATGACCAAAGTATATGAGACAAAGTCTGGCCATCCTCGCTTCCAAGGAGCATTCCGGCTGCACTTCCTCCAAGACAGATTTATTAGTTCTTTTAGCAGTCCACGGTACTTTTAGCATTCTTTGCCAACACCACAGCTCAAAAGCATCAACTCTTCTTCAGTCTTCCTTATTCATTGTCCAGCTCTCACCTGCATATGAGGCAAATGAAAATACCATGGCTTGTGCCAGGTGCACCTTAGTCCTCAAGGAGACATCTTTGCTCTTCTGCACTTGAAAGAGGTCCTCTGCAGCCAATTTGCTCAGTGCTATACGTTGTCTGATGCCCTGACTGCTGCTTCCACTGGTGTCGATTGTATGCTGCTTATAGGTCCAGTTGTGAGAATTTTTGTTTTCTTTATATTGAGATGTAATCCATACTGCAGATTGTATTCTTCCATCTTCATCAGTAAGTACTTCAAATCATCCTCACTTTCAGCAAGCAAAGGTGTGTCGTCAGCGTATCACAGGTTGTTAATGATACTTCCTCCAATCCTGATGCCACATTTTTCTTCATATAGTCCAGCTTCTCAGATTATTTGCTCAGCATATAGATTGAA